GGGGGGGAGGGGAGATAACAAGCTCTGCTTTGGATGTGATGAATTTGAGATGCCAATGGGCCATCTAGTGGAGATGCCCAGCAGAGAGTTGGCAATGTAGAAGTGGAGCTGAGGAGAAAGATTGGTGGTCATCTGTGTAGAGATAATGGAATTCATAGGAGCTGATGAGATGACCAACAGTGGGGGAGGGGAGAGAGAGTGAGAGAGCAGAGGGTCCAGGAAACACCCTAGGGGGATACCCATGGTTAAGAGGCAGGACAGGGATGACCCAGCAAAAGAGATCGAGAAGGAGCAATCAGAGACGTAGAATTGGAGAAGGAGTGTCATAGGAACTAAGGGAGGAGGTCATGTCCTGGAGAAGAGGGTAGTCAATATCATCAAAAGCTCAAGGGAGATCAAGAAGGATGAGGTTAGGGGGTGAGTGGGAAAAGTCATCAGATTTAAAAATTAAAATAGTGTCAACAGCTTCTTCAGAGTTATGGGTTGGAAGGCAGATTGTAAAGGGTTTAGAAAGAAGTAGCAGGTGAGGAAACAAGGTAGGGGTGTAGAGAAACAGTTTTTCTCTAGGAGTTTGGCTATAAAAGGGAACAGGGATATAAGAAGACAGCTGGAATTTCTGAGCATCAGTTTTCTCATCTGCAAAATGAGAGGTTTAAGACAAGATGATCTCTAGGCTCCCTTCCAACCCTAAAATCCTACGGTTTTGAATCAAGTCTAATGGTCTTTAAACCACTCCATTCAGCCTCTCTAAGACCATATTCATTTAGATGTATAAGCTCTGATGCGGTTGTTTTTAAAAAAATTATTCTTACTATATAGCTTGTCTTATATTTTAAAGCAACGTCTCTCAACCTTGAAAAGAAGGCCAGCCCCAGCCAGGAAAGGAGAAACAACACAGGTGTCAACGTCTATGAGGCAGTTCATTCCTTTCTCAAAAAATTAGTTTTAGGGGGCAGCTAGGTGGCGCAGTGGATAAAGGATCTGCCCTAGATTTAGGAGGACCTGAGTTCAAATGTGATCTCAGATACATAACACTTGCTAGCTGTGTGACCCTGCGCAAGTCACTTAACCCCATTGCCTAACCCCCCCCCAACAAAAAACAAGAAAAAATTAACTTTAGGGAATCAATCTGTTGATAGGATTTTATAGCTGGAAGTACCATCTACTCCAACCCCTTCATGTTACAGATAAGAAAATTGTAATTCACTTGAGAAGTGAAATGACTTGGCCAAAGTCACATAAATTGTAGGCCTGAGCCTACATCACAGGGTTATAGATATAGAGCTAGAAGTGAATTTAACAATGATATAGTCCAACTCTCTCAGTATACAGATAAGGAGACTGAGGACAACAGAGACAACGTGACTTTCTTGCTTGTAAAATCCTTCAGCACAAGGCTTGCTTTGTTTTTTTGTTTTGTGTCTCTCACACCTAGCCCAGTGCCTGGCACATTAAATTGGGTAGAATCATTAATTGCCCAAGGATCCTACAAGTAATAAAGCAGGAGAGCCAAGATTTGAATGGATGTTCTTTCATCCCTGAATCAGTATTCTTTCTACTACACTCACTTTATCTCGGTAATCCACCCCTCCTCCTCACTCTCATCACAGCTTTAGGGAATATCTTGGGGGTGGCTGGAAATCAGGCTTCATTGGGGATACTCAGGGATGGAGCCACTGTCAAGAGAAACGAGGTGAGAGGGAAGTGACAAACGAGCATCTTACCCAAATTGGGATCATATTCACTGATAAACCGCTTGGTCAGGAACTTCACGGTCAAAGCTGCAAGAGGCAAAAACCAAACAAACAAATGAAATGCTTTTCCAATCTTCTCCTGCCATCTTAGGCTGTTTTCACTGGAAGCTGGCACATAAATGTTTTAGAGAAACAACCAACTATTTCGATCCTTCTGACACCCCCTTCACATACAGTACCCCCACCCCCGACGCCTCTCCACTGATGGAGAGTCCAGCTCTCCATCGAGAAACAGAGATAAAAAAGAGATAGAAAATCAATAAAGAGAGTTTGGCACCATTTAAGGTCTTCAATCCACTCCAAAGGAATCAGCAACAAGGAGATCACGTGTCCCTCTAGTAATACTCAGGGATTTAAAAAAGCCAGGGATCAAAACACCAAGGGCAAATGATGGATACAGTGAGAGTCATAGAAAATCTGGAGAAGCCAAGAAGCTGTAAGTCTCCTAGTCCTTTGCTTGGAGAAACATAACGAGGGAAGAGCTTTTTGTCTGTAGAGAAATCACACCAGGGTGCTCAAGTGGGAATTTGACTCCAATTTGCAAAGGGACTGAAAAGAAAAGATAAAAGCTGGAGATAGAGACAGTCCCTCAGGAGGGCTATAAAACCTCTATTTTCCTGAGATAAATCCCAGCCTGTGCTCAAGATAGACTGATTTTAAAATTCTAGTCCTTGTTCCTTCCCAGGTCCAAGTTTACTGTGATAAAAAACACCAGACTATAGAAAGTCCCAGTAGGAATATTTTCATTAAATATAAAAATTTTGGAACAAATTTGGAACATAAAATTTTGGAATGAATTTTTCAACATACAAAGAGCATTTATCAGTTAGCAAAGTCAACAGAGGTTTGTTCTGGGTACTGAAATTAGTCATGCAAAGTCAGCTGTTAGGCTGGTCTCTAAAAAGAAGCAGTATATTTTCTTAACTAAAAGTGCTTTTCTAAGTGCTTCTTCAAACTCTTTCCCAAGATTCGAAGGCTCCATGATTTTTGCAAACTACTGTCTAGGGAATGCACGTTTGAAAATTTAAATTCTTTAATCTGTATAACTGTTGGCAAAATAAATGATGGCATAGAATTCTTTGCTTAGTTAAGGTCTTTATTTTCAATGCTAAGAAGACAATCTCTTCCTATCGAAAAAAGAAAAAACCAAAACCAAAACAAACAGACAAAAAAAGCCATATGTTTTGCCTTGACACAATAGACAGTTCTCCAAAATACAGAAAGGACATTCTCTCAAATAGGCAAAGCTGCCAGCGAGGGTGAGAATAACCCTTTTCTGCAGGAAAGAGATGGGGACTTGACCCATGATTTCCCTGTTGTAGGAAACTTTCAGATAATGAAACTCCCTTTTATCCATCCAGGGTAGCACTTTCTCTGCAGTTTAGTTTTAGAGAGTTGCCTAGAGCCCTGGGAAGTTAAATGACTTGTCCAGAGTCACACAGTCAGTAGGTAGCAGAGGAAAGATTTGATCCAGGTGGCATAGCAGATAGAGTGCCTTGCCTGAAGTCAGAAAGCCCTGAATTCAAGTGTGGACTCAGACACTTACTAGCTGCTTTGCAATCCTGGGCAAGTCACTTAACCTCTGCCTCAGTTTCCTCTTCTATAAAATGGGGATAAAATAGCACCTACCTCCTAGGTTTGTTGTGAGGATAAAATGAGATAATAATTGTAAAGCACTTGGCGCAGTATCTGGAACGTAGTAAGTGCTATCTAAACTTTAGCTATCATCACCATCATCATCATCATCATCATTTTTAGCACTGAGGCCAGCTCTCCATACACTATACCTCACTACTTCTCTATCCACTTTTCATGCTTCAGGAGAACCAGGTGCCAATTCTGTTCTATACCAGGGCACCAGTTTCAAAGTCGCAGTCTGCTCAACCATCACAGGTCTAAAGGAGGAAAGGAATCCAATCGGGCTTAAGTAGAATCCTTCACTAATCATTGGGAACTTAAAAAGTGGTAAGTGAGCGTACAGGGATCTCAAAGAAAGACCCCAGCTGATTGGGCCCAGCCAAGATGTAAGGGACAAGGAGACCGATGAATGAAGCCCTAAGCCCAAGTCTTCATTTCAACTGTCACAGTTGCTTTAGCTCTGTTTTCAAATTTCAGTTCAAGCTACATTTATTAAATGTCAGCTCCTGGAGGGCAAACACTGTGTTTTTGCTTTTCTTTGTGTTCCCAGAAATTAGTACATAGTTCCTAGCACACACTCATCACTCAGTAACTGCTTGTTGATTGATTGACAGCTTGGGAAGATACAAAGTTTAAATAAGATAGGATGCTTGCCCTCCAGAGATTTACAGTCCTGTTGGCAGATAAGATAAACCCACAAAACTAAGATACTCAGTAAATAGCACATGATAAACGCATTAAAGAAGGCAAACAACGTGCTAGGTAGGAAAATCCTAGGGAAGAAGAAGAAACTGTTTCTGCCAAGAGTGAGGGGTTTGGATTTCTCTAAAACCAGGCATTCTACTTCCATGATTTCCTCTCCTCTCTCAACACCTCTTCCAATCCCCTTCAACAATCAATAACAAACATCATTAAGTTATCAAGTGTCAGGCACTGTGCTAGGTGATAGCGATGCAAAGGCAAAATTGAAAGGTGGTCAGATCTGCCATAGAAGTCAGGCTGTATGTCCCAAAGGGATGGGGATGAGGAGAGCTACTGGACCCATGATCTCGTCCTTGTAGGGAACTTCCAGATTAGGCCAGTCCTGGGCAGCAATTTATCTACAATTCAGAGAGTTGCCTAGAGCACTGATCAGCTAAATAACTTGTCCAGGGTAACACAACCAGTATGTATCCAAGATGGGACTTGAACCCAGTTCTTTCTGGCTTTGAGGCCAGCTCTCTATACACGGGCTGACTCCAAGATGCCTTCCCAAATGACTCTGATTTTTCCATTATCCAACACCCTCCACCAAAAGCCTATTTGTCTCCCCAGGAGACTATCCCAGCCTGTGACTGAATCTGTGTATCTTGGAGGTTTGGCCTTGGCAGGCTCTGCATAGGTGTCCCCACCAGGCATCATCCCCCAGACCCTATGGGGAGGAAAGAGTAGAAGGAAACAGAAAAGCCATCATCTCTGCGCTGGGATAGAGAAAGTTGTGAAAGGACTACAGTGACCTGTCAATCAAGCACTATGCAAACGAACAGACACTTCTATCTATACCTGCTTGCGGGAGCCCCTGGGAGGTAGGGGTTCAACAATCCTGCTCTCTTCCCCCACCCCACTCACCAGACTTCCCGGCTCCTCTGCAACCCAGGATGGCCACGTTAACCTCGGAGATCGAACTGTGCACCAGGCGCTCAGGACCAAGGTTCCCAGCCCGGGGTTTGCCAAACACGGACGACATGACAAGTCCAGCCTGCAGAGGACCCCTAGGGGAGGAATGTCGCCTCTAAGATAATAACAGAGGCTCACTAGGAGTGGATGACCGGCGGGCGGCGGGCTCACCTGGAAGAGGTGGGGAGGGAGGAAAAGAGGCCAAAGAGGGGATTCCCTTAACACCGAGTCCCTCCGTGCAACAAACCTTAGGCTGCCCACACTCCTTGGAGCAGGCGGGTAAAGGCAATCCCCCTAGGCGTTCGTGCCCCTTCTGCAGCTCCAGCTCAAGTCCTCAGATTATTTAGCCAGGTAGCTGTCGGGGATAAGAAACAGACTCGGGAGCCCGGGGCGCTGGGCTTCCAGTCTGGGTGTTCGCCTGGCCCGAGAGGGAGAGCTGGAGCACAGGGGGACCGTGCCAGGACCTCGGATGCTGAGGTTCACTCTCGCATTCTGGAAGAAGACCTCCACATCTCCCTCACCGCCACCCCACACCTTGGCTGCACCGTGACACTGGACGTGGCCACCCGGGCTCTGGGGCTCTAGGCTCTGATTCCAGCTCCAGCTCCGGCTTAATGCAGCTTGCCTCGTCCCTCTCTAGTGTTGCTGGGGCCCTCGGGGGAAAGAGGAGGAGGACCCGGCAGGCGGAGCCATCCTCTGAGCTGTGGCCAAACTCCTTGTAAGGACTACAGACTCCCCCCACCGAGGGGGCGCATCTCCCGGAGAAAGCTATGGGTGTGTTGGGGTGAGAAGAGGTCACGATGGGTTGCCCTGGCTTGGTAAACCTTAAAGAGAATTATTGTTCCCATTTTACAGGTGAGGAAACTTGAGTCCCAGAGACGGACATGACTTGTTCAAAGTCACCAGGATTAGAATTTCTCCTGACTCCCCACCCAGGGTTCATTCCATCACACTAGCCTGATAGCTGTTACTCCAAGTTGGAGTGGTTGGAGTGAGAGGTGGGGTAGGAGTAGGAAGGTGTGAGAGGGAGAGTAGAGAAGAAGATAAAAATCAGGGCTCCATCTTGCAGACACCTCTTCACTTCAAATGGAAACTCAAATAACTAATGGATGCTTCTCATGTCAGAGTTGGAAGAGATCTTAGAGAATCGTCCGGGTCTAAGTCTCCAATCTTACTTGTGAGGAAACCAATCTTGTGAACACAGGCAAAGAAACCCGAGGGGGTAGGGGGGGGTGGGACCTGTGAATGACTTTCCTATAAAGAACTCTTCTTCATCCAAAAGAGAAAACCATTTTCCTGGACAGAGCTACATGAATATTTATAGAATCTAACCATGTCTCTGGGAGATCATTACAAACTATCCCTGTTATTAAGACTTTAAGGTGTTGGGAGGAATGTGTTTATATTTCATAGTCTGGCGGGGTTTGCTTAAAAAGCTAATAGCCAGGGATTTTCTCTTTGAGTTGAAGGAGGAGGGGAAGTGAAAACCAGCTCCCATTTGGCCTTTCATTTGCCTCCTGAGCAGATAGATGGTCTCAGGCCTGGATCTTACAGACTTAGAAGGCCCTGCCAATGGAGAAGGCCTCACAGAGAGAATGCCAGTCTAGAGGTAATGTGGTGCAGTGATTTGGAATACTGGCCATCTGGCCTTGAGTTCTGCTTCTGTTATTCACTACCTGCCTGGTTCAATTACTTATATTAAGCAGGTAGATGGACTAGTGGATAGCATGCTGGACCTTACCTCAGGAAGACTTCAGATTAAATCCTGCTTCATACACTTATTAGCTGAGTGACCCTGGGCAAGTATTTAAACTCTCAGTCTGTTTCTTCGTTTGTAAAATGAAGCTAATAATAGTGCGTACCTCCCAGGATTGTTGGGAGCCTCAAATAAGATGACATATGTAAAGTACTTAAAGGGTCTATAAACGACAGCTATCTTTATTACCTGGGTATTCTTTGTGTCAGTTGCTGAGAGTTGGACTAGGAGACCTCTAAAAGTTCATTCCAGTTCTAAAAGCTAGCTGCATGTGAAGGAAGCTGTCCTGGCTATTGCAAGTTGGGAAAATAACCCTGGGCCACGAAGGGGGTGTGTGTGTGTGTGTGTGTGTGTGTGTGTGTGTGTGTGTGTGTGTGTGTGTGTGTGTGTGTATGTGAAAGAGAGAGAGAGAGAGAGAGAGAGAGAGAGAGAGAGAGAGAGAGAGAGAGAGAGAGAGAGAGAGAGAGAGAGAGAGAGAGAGAGATTTGAATGCTGAGAACTAGAACCAGGAAGCTAAAGCTGCCAGTGATTTTATCCATGGAGTTCTCTGAGTCATTGAGAATAGCTGCTAAACTTGTATCTCCCAATCAAAACCCTCCGATTCAAAAACAGGGAGTATGGGCTAGCCACCAAACACACCTGATTCTTTGCCCAAGGCCCATAGTCTGGGGAGTGGAGAGTCTGGGGCAAACCACACTGGGCTTCCTTGCCCCTACCCAATTTTTGTTAAAGAAGAGGAAGAAGAGATTTTCTTAGGAAGACATAAGATCAAAGGAGGAAGAAGAAGAGAAGGAAAAAAAAGGAAGAGAAGGAAGAGCAACAGAAGAAGGAAGAAAAGGAGGAAAAAAAGGAAGAGGAAGAAGAGGAGAAAAAAAGGAAGAGGAGGAGGAGAAAAAAAGGAAGAGGAAGAAAAAGAGGAAGAAGAAGAGGAGGAAGAAGAGGAGGAGGAAGAAGATGAAAAAAGGAAGAGGAGGAGGATGAAGAAGGGGAAGAGGAAGAGGAGCAGGAGAAAGAGGAGCAGGAGGAGGCTACTGTCAGATGATGCTCAAAGAGACTGGGGGACCCAGTTACAATTAGCTGGACCCTTCCTCATCTTCCTTTCCACCACATTTACCTGCCCACACAGCTCCCTTCCTCACCTCAAACCACACCCCTCCCCAGTACTACCCTGCCTCTAGAGGGAAAAGATTCATTATTAATGCCTCATTTGACCTAGTAGGGGGGAGATAGCCAGATAAATAAGCCAAAGTCGCTGCCACAAACTTAGTGTGATAGCTTTGTGATCTTAGGTGAGGCCTTTAACCTGGGACAGCCCAGTGTTGTGAGGATAAAATGAGATAATATACAGCAAAGTGTTTTGTAAATGTTAAAAGTGCTATACAAATATTAAATAGTAGTAGTAAGGATGAAAAAGTATAAACACAAGTAAGAATAATAAAAACTAGAATACTGAAAGTGAGGCAGCTGGTGGGGCAGGGGATAGATAGATGTGGCTTGTGGGGTTTGGCGAGGGAACTGGGGTTGAGGAAAGAAGAGAGGAAGTGTCAGCTGCTATTGGGGTTATACGATATCATAGAGTTATGAAGGGACCTTAGAAATCATCCACAACTCCTCCTTCTCCTTTCCTGGCCAGATCACGCCGTGTAACCATAGGTGTTCCTCAGGGTTCTGTCCTGGGCCCTCTTCAGCTGACATGGATTTAATTACCATCTCTATGCTGATGATTCTCAGATCTACCTGTCCTTCCCCAACCTCTCTGCTGACCTCCAGTCTTGCATCTCCAACCAACTTTCAGACATCTTGAAATGGATGTCCAGTAGATATCTTAAATGCAACGTGTCCAAAACAGAGCTCATTATCTTTCCCCCTAAATCATTCCCCCTCTGACCTTCCCTGTTACTATAGAGAGCAACACCATCCTCCCAGTCCCCCAGGCTTATGACCTAGGCGCCATCCTGGATTCCTCACTATTTCTCACCCCCAGTATTCAATCTGTTGCTGATCCCTGTTGGTTTTGCCTTTGCAATATCTCTCCAATACATCCCCTCCTCTTCCTTGGCACTGCCACCAGCCTGGTACAAGCCTTCATCACCTTAAGTGGATTATTGCAATAGCCTGCTGATGGGTCTGCCTGTCTCAAGTCTCTCCCCACTCCAAGCCATCCTCCATTCAGCTTCTATGGTTTTTTCCCCTAAAGCGCCTGTCTGACCATGTTCCCCTCCTTCTCAATAAACTCCAGTGGCTTTCTGTTGCCTCCAGGGTCAAAGACAAAATGCTCTGTTTGACATTCAAAGCCCTTCATAACCTAGCCCCCTCCTACCTTTCCAGTCTTCTCACACCTTGTCCCTCAATTCTTACTCTTTGGTCCAGTGATGCTGGCTGTTCCGTGAACCACACACTCCATTTCTCCACTTCTGGCATTTTCTCTGGCTGTCTCCCATGCCTAGAAGGCCCTCTCTCTCACCTCTGCCTGCTGACCTCCCTGGCTTCCTTTAAATCTAATCTAAAATCCCGCCTTCCCCAACTCCTCTTAATTCTAGTGGCTTTTCTCAATGGATTATTTCATACTTATCCTGTATGTAGCTTGTATTTATTTGTTTGTTTATTGTCTCTTCCTTAGATTGTAAATTCCTTGAGGACAAGGACTGTCTCTTGCCTCTTCTTGTATCCACTAGAATGGGTGGGGAACCTTTGGCCTGGAGGCCACATATGGCCTTCTAGGTCCTCAAGTGTGGCCTTTTGAATCCAAACTTCACAGAACAAATTCCCTTAATAAAAGGATTTGTTCTGTAAAACTTGGATTCAGTCAAAAGGCTGCACCCAAGGACCTAGAGGGCCACATGTGGCCTCAAGGCTGCAGGTTTCCCCACCCCTGCCCTAGAACTTAGCACTGTGCCTGGCACATAGTAGGTGCTTAATAAAGGTTGATTGATTGATTGATAAAATCTCCTCATTTTACAAATGACAACACTGAGGCCCAGAGAAGGGAAGATACTTATCAAACATTACACAGATAGTAAGTAGCTGTACCCCAATTCTAATCCAGGCTTCTGACTACAAATCCAGTGCTCTCCTTTACTCCACATATTGCCCGTGTCCTCACCAGCAAAGGTCAGTGCACCAGGGACTCAAGGTCATCTGAAAAGAACACGTGGGTAGAGTCTCTGAATCTGGAACACGAACTGCAGGAATTGGAACGTTCAGTCTGAAACACACACCGGGGAAGAATGTGTGGGAACCAGCCTGGGCGAAAACCAGCTGCCTCCTGGCTCTGGGACTGGTCCTGCAACTTGATGCTATTCTTGCAACCCCAGGAGTTGATCTGACACATGGAAGCAGAGACCTTGTCTCCCTTATCAGCCTGGGGCTGACGACTGTGAGCTCTTCTTTTTTTCTCCCCCAGTGCCTGAGGAAGGGAGAAGGAGAGGGGGAAGGGGGATGTAGAGGCTGGAAAGTTAGCCACTCCCCGAGGGACTCCTGGTATCGATAACACGGAGAAAATTCAAACCAGCTGCTTGAGGCCTCTGTGGGCCCGCAGAGGCTCTCCTCCCTCCCCCACTTAAATCTTTGGAAAAATGCCAGGTGAGAGGAAAGGAGGGGCTCCCAAAGGGTGGTAGGGAAGGAGGGGTTCCCCAAGAGGGGTGGGTGATAAGCTGCAGGGAAGGGGAGGAAGCCCATTCTGGACTCAAGCTCCCACATCAGGCTCTTGGGGTTTCCCAACACGATCCATATGTGGCCCACTACTACAGAAAGGCCCTTATAACATAGCTGCTTATTTCAGTTACAAGAAAGAAAGAGGTTGGCTGCTTAGGGACCCCATGGGGTGGCGGGGCCTTCACAGGATCACCGTAAGGTGGAGGTCTGACCCTCATGAAAGTATGGAAATTAGACATTTATTAATTCTCCCAGAGGTGCTCAGGCATTGTGCCTTAATTTACACCCCCTATGTTCTTCAGGGACTGATTTATAAACCAGAATGACGATTTAATAATTTTTAAATGGAGATGGATTTAATAGGGTAAACGAACCTGGTTCTATGCCATTGTTACTCCCTCCCTCCTAAAGGAGAGGTCTGCACAGGAGACCACATTTAGGCTCTCAGGCATAGAGCTGGAAAGGACTTTGGAGGGCATCCAATCCAACTCCCTTATCTACAGGAACATGAGGCTAGTAGAGGTTAAGTGACTTGCCTAAGGTGATACAGCTAGTGAGCATCAGAGATGAGATTTGAATTCAGGTGTTCTGACTCCAGAACCAGTCAGTGGTCCCCAGAGCATTAAGTTAGAGTCAAAGGAGCTGGATATTTTGACAGGATCTTTGTTAAGCTGTGATAGCCTGACGACTTGCCCTTCTCCACTCTAGGCATATTTCTAGATAATAATAATAATAATTGCTGACATTTCTATAGCATACTTTACATGATATACATGTCCTTTGAGCCTCACAACAACCTTGTGAGGCTCATGCTATAGGAATTATTAGCTCCATTTTACAGGTAAGAAAGTGAGAGAGGTAGAACGACTATGCCAACAGCCACACAGTTAAGGGATGTTGAGAGTAGGATTTGAACTCTTGTCTCTTTTGACTTTAGGTTCAACCTCTGACTACACTTCACTGCCTCTATCAATGTGGCCCATTAAAATCAGAGCAGTTCCTTCCTGAGTCATGCTGGGAACGTAGGATTCTAGGGCTCTTTTTTTTTTCTAGACTCCATTTCTCCACTGGGTTATGTTTAAGTTAATGTGATCCAACCGAACAGCTCTCTGTTGTTTTTAAGTATTTACACATAAATATATATAAATATAGCATGCACATATTCATATCCATGTATCTTGAAACAAAGAGGTTTCCTTAATGGGATTTCAGCATGGACCTTAATAAGGTTTTTGCATTAAACACTCATCATTCACATCATGTAGATGGCCACCTACTCCTCCTATGGACATAAGATGGTTCCATCCAAGTGTATCTCTTTATTCATCGTGAACAGCTGGGAGCACAGAGGGCTACTGGGTCGCTCTTCATGAGGAAAATGTCTTGGGAAACAGGAGGGAAGAAAATATACATTTATTAAATGTTTACTATTATGTAATAGCACAGGCCAGGAGGCACTTTACTAAGCACTTTACAAATACTATTTCAGATGATCTTTTCAAAAACCCCGGGAGGTAGGTGCTATTATTATCCTCATTTTAGAATTGAGGAAACTGAGGCAAACAGGTTAAGTGACTTGCCCAAAGTCACACAGTAAGTATATGAGGCACAATTTGAACTCAGGTCTTCCTGAATCCAAACTCCATCCACTGCAATCTGCCTGTATGCATAGAATATTCCTGTCAGATGGATCTGCTAGTAGGGGTGGGAAACCTGTGGCCTGCAGGCCATATGTGGCCTTCTAGGTCCTCAGGTGTGGCCTTTTGCGTGAGTCCAAGTTTTACAGAACAAATCCTTTTATTAAAGGGATTTGTTCCGCGAAGTTTGGATTCAATCAAAGGGCTGCTCTTGAGGCCACATGTGGCCTCAAAGCCACAGATTCTTTACCCCTGTTAGAGAGCAGGGACTGGTTTTTGCCCTTTTTGGGGGGGGGGTATCCTCAGGGCTTAACATAGGGCCTGGCATACAATAGGTGCTTAATAAATGCTTATTGACTGAGGGTATGAAGAGGGGTCTGACTTTGGCTCTTCCCCAACCTATGGCTCCCGGATCTTTGTGTCGTCCCCCCCCCCCAAAACATTCAGTGCCCAGTGCCTATAGCAGAATTCAACCCTGCCTTAAATCCAGAAAAATGCTCAGGGACATGCTCTTCCCTGGAGTTATGAGCTAGGGGCTCAGAATAATGGTTAGAGGCTGAGAATCTTGACTCAGAGTTTGAGGCTGAATGGAAAAAATACGTTGGAGCTTCCAGTGTGAGACAGTCTCTGGCCCTGAAGTGGGGCCCAAACAGCTTAAGGAAGCAGCGTCCAAACGTGCAACAGTTATGAAGATATAGGGATGCTGGAGGAAGGGCTAATGGCTGACAAATCTGGCCTCCAGCCACTCTTCGGATCCTCCTCCTCTCTCTGTCCCTAGGGCCTCTCCTTTATCCTGTCTATTCCTGGCTCTCTTCCTCTGGGAATCTGTCTTCCCAGGCTCGTGCATCTGACTTATGCCCTCTTCTTCACCCCCACCCCCAGCCCCAGCTGCCCTTCCTTGCTGCTATGTTTGCAGTGGGGGCGGGCAAACTAAAAAATCAGTGACTGCCCCCATTCCCACGTTGGAGCCGCCAGTACAGTAAAGAGATGTGGCTGACTTGGGGTTCCCAGGCCTGCTCCTCTTCTGAAACTCTCCCCATCTGCCTTGGTCGCTGGGCCGGATGGTGAAAAGCAATGGATGCAGCTGGGTCCTGCCCCTCCTGCATTGGTGATAACTGATGTCATGGGTTTAACCCTGGAGTTGGAGTCAGAAAGACCTGAGTTCAAACTCTGCCTCAGAAGCTGTGGGACCCTGGATGAATTCTAGGATCACGGATTTAGAGCCGGAAGGGAGCTTAGAGGTAATCTGGTCCAACCTCCCCATTTTACAGATGAGGAAACTGAGGTCCAGGGAGAAGTGACCTGCCCAGGGTCATTTCTCAGAGACTCAGACTTGTCATCTGTGCAATGAGCACAATGAAGGCATCTGCCAAACAGAGATGTTTTGAGGCTCAAACGAGACAATGAACATGAAACACTTTGCAAGGGCTGAATTAATGTGCGTGATGATAGTAATGATTTGCCGCTTTGGCATCACGTGTTTTTGAAGCTCTTCACATCTAGCAGCTCATTTAATCCTCACAACAGTCTCAGGAGTTGGCTTTGGTTTTTTGGTCCTTTTTCATGTACAGCCTAAAGTCCAGAGAGGTGGTGACTTGTCCAAGATCGGAAGAATGGTAGCGGAATCAGCACTCAAACCTGTCTTCATTAAAAAATAATAGTAACTTATGTTTTATGGATGCTTTTTTGTTTTACATCACATTCAGCTTCCAAAATACTCCTCCCTGGTCTTTCCCTCAGCTTTCCTTGTAACAAAAGGGGGAAAAAATGTAAGCAAAATCAACTGAGGCATAGACCCAAGTCTGACAGTCTGTGTAACATTCCTTGCCCTCAGCCTGCCACCTTTCCAACAGAATCCAAGCCTCTTGATTCTTAGCCCAAAGGTCTTTCCATTACATAGGATCATGAGATTATAGGACAATAGATTTAGAGCTAAAAGTCATTTAGTTCAGAGCTGTCAAACATTGGACAGGTCACCCAAAGCCCTCCTGAGTGGGCTGTGCCAGATTTAATGTAAATGGGAAATATTTAACAAGATAAAGATACAATGTGGGGTTTTTTGAGTCAATATGGGGCCTGCAGAGGTTTCCCTGCTCAATCTCTGCCTCCCGGGTTTGTGGGGTCACATGAGCAGGATCTATCTTTAGTCAAGAAGTTATTTATATTCCCACAGGGAAGTTACTTCATTGCCTGGAAATCCCTGGGAGAAGGGTGAGAAGTGACCAAATCAGATTGGGGGGAAAAGCTATCCTCGGCCCTAATTCCTGGGTTGACTTCACCCCACCCTGTTGTCTGCAGCCCCCACCATGCAGTCAGTTCTTCCAGGCAGTGTCCAAGTCTGGGTAGGGGGACGGCTCTTTGCAGCTGACAAGGCCTTGTTGGTGGAAAACAGCGGCTTCTTCCGTGGCCTGTTCCGGTCAGGGATGCAAGAGGCCACCCAAGGTGAGATCCACCTTGGGGTGCTGAGTGCTGGTGGCTTCCAGACTACATTGCAGGTGTTGGGGGGTCAGCGGCCAGCCCTGGGGGGTGAGGAGGAGCTGCTTCAAGCTGTGGAATGTGCTGCCTTCCTGCAGGCCCCCCCACTGGCCCACTACCTTATCCACAGCCTCACCTCAGACAACTGTGTGGCATTGTGTGAGACCGCATTTGTCTTCGGCCTGTGGGATGTATTTCACAGAGCGGCACTTTTTATTCGAGATGGTCCCCCAGAGATGGCCAATGAACTGTCCCCAGAAGTGCGGGCCTATGTGGAGGCCCTGAGACCCAGCAGCTTTGTGGCTGTTGGTACCCACACACCCACTCCTGAGTATTTGGAGGATGTGACTCGAACCCTGTGCTACCTGGATGAGAAGGAGGATGTGTGGCGGACTCTGGCCTCCCTGCCAGTGGAGGCTAGCACCTTGCTGGCTGGAGTCACCACACTGGAGAACAAGCTTTATATCGTGGGTGGGGTCCGAGGGGCCAACAAGGAAGTTGTGGAGCCTGCTTTCTGCTACGATGCTGACCAGGGGACCTGGCAGGAGTTCCCCAGCCCCCACCAGGCTCGCTATGATGTGGCACTGGTTGGCTATGAAGGCAGCCTCTATGCTATTGGGGGAGAATTCCAGAGGGTTCCCCTAAGATCAGTGGAGCGATATGACTTTGCCACTGGCTGCTGGAACTTCATAGCAGACCTCCCCCAGCCTGCCACTGGGGTCCCTTATGCCCAAACCTTAGGCCGCCTCTTCATCTGTCTGTGGCAGCCTGCAGACACCACAGCAGTGTATGAGTATAAGACCCAGGTTGATGCCT